ATTTCAAAAAAAGTCCCTAACGTTCAAAGAAAAAAAAACACAGAAAAAAAACAGTTCGTGCAAGAAACATGGAATAAATATATGAGAGGAGATATTGACAAATTATAGGTACAATACATAAAATGCTTAGGTTTAAAATACCAGGCCAATAGATTACTATAAAATGTATTAAAAATTAAAATGGTACACAAACCAATATATTATAAACCAATTTAAAAATATTATAATATTACCTACCTATATGACGTGTTATTGTAATAATTATTTTTTACTCTAGATCACTATAATTTATAATAATATAACTATCTATACCAATATGGCAATATATGAATAATTTTTTACATTATTATAATAATATTACCTATGTGACGTGTTGTTTTAATTATTATTTTTTTACTTTATATCACTATAATAATAATATAATTATTATAATAAGGTATTATAAGGTATTATTATACCTTTAGTTGAATAAACCCTCACCCAAACGGTATACATCTATTCGCCCAAACGGACTATAATTTGGGTCGATTCGCCCAAACGGTCTACGCCCATTTGGATAACTGATTTGGGTGGGCTAAATTTATAAAATCAACAAAGACCTGTAGGGGCTACGCCCCCGCATCCCTTCTCCACTCATAATTATTTTCATGACAAGATCATTATTTTCAACAATTTTCATAGAGGAAATCTCATAGGTATATAGTTTAGAATTTAAGGAATCAAAATTACTAAGTGTTTTATTTGTTTTTAAATTAAAAATGCTAAACATATTATTAAACTTCAAAAAACTGCAACTGACATGTAGAAATATCAATAAAAAACACTTGACACACAAAGATTGAAAGATATAAAGTTGTTTTTAATAAATCAAACTATTAGTTATTGTACTATATATAAAGAATAAAACATTAAAATAAATTGTAGTCCGGATAACTAAAACGAATTCGGATTTATAGAATATTACCTACACAGTTTTTAAGTGAACTTCATATCTTTATATTATATTATACTATTATAGAATATAGAGTATAAGAGGCTTGAACACACTGTCAGAAAGACAGAAAATTCGCCTTCAGCGTTTCCTCAGAATTACGTATTAGCCATAATAAATTAATTACTAGTGATGAACTCTGCTGAATTGGTAGAGAGAATAAACACAATTTGATGAACTTTTAGAAAAGAAATGTTCACGATTGATAACTTTTTTGAAAACATTACACTCAAATTGTAATTCAGTGACTACGTGAAAGAAGATTGGGTGAGGTCTTGTTTGGACGATAATCCAATGTGTTGGTTTGGTTATCAAGATTAATGGGAGCCATTAATAAAAGATCAAATGAAAACAAATAGAAGCGATCTTTTGAGATGATATTATATTTAGGTACATTGTTTATATTAATGAGTAGTTGTGATTGATGATTGGGACGACAAAATGAGACTTATTAGAACCCACAGAAGTGAGGAATCCATTATTTTATTTGAATTTAGAAGGTGAACTGTGTGTGTGCTTTGAAACACTTTGTAGACGAGATTTTTGTATTTTTAACGTGGTTATAGAACATTTATGTGACATGAGCAAGTCTATCTCGAAATAACAGCAATAAGCCACGGCCGTAGGTACTAATTAAGTATAATCAGTTACAGTAATTGATGAGTAATTAACTTGGTTACTGAATTTGAGCTGGCAAAGTTTCTTTGTGCTATCGATATGCGCTTGTATTATAGCCCGTTGAATTGCTGGCATTTTATTAATTAAGTTGGTTTTTTTGCGAATGAAAACGGAAAAAAGCTTTGAAAATATAAATATAAACTATGATAAAATAGAAAATATATAAAACTGCGAATACATCTATACACGTCACCGCTAGTCGCGACCGTCTTGCATGGCCGTTGCCCTTTTATTTATGCAGACTTATGGCTTATACCCGCTTATTCTATTATTATTAGATTAATCTAGATTACTGCCATACTGTATAAACAATAAACAAGGTATCTTAATTTGTGGCTACACTACTATTAATTGCTTTATTAGCTATAGGGCTATACAATTTTATTATATACAATGTTAATGTACTATTAGGTAAGTATTACTATTTTTGTATTGCATAGGTGACAACCTAATGGTAGTATGGTACCACCTAACCACCCACGACCCACCCTTTAAAAAACGTGTGACCGCTATCACACCTTTATACCGTGTTCGGTGCCACCGACTGTAGTAGTGTAATGGATGGTGTTAAATTTGAATTCAATGATACAATATCATTGTATAAGAAAAACGATTCTGAACAAATTTTTATATAATATATAAGTTTTTCTAGTTATTACCATCAACATTTTCAGAATTTCATCCTTTATATTTTAGTATAGGTACTTAAAATAATAATTTAAGTATTATTTCACCTTTGTTTTATTGTAAATCTGATTTTTTTTTTTACTTGTGTCATTATTAATTCTGCTTAGATAGATTATGTATTAGCTTACTGCAGGGGTGTCCAACCTTTTGTGAAGACTGGGCCACATCATATAGGTAGAAGTTGTTGTGGGCCACATACTTTTTTTTAATAATAATACATTAAAATTTAATGATTAAATTATAATCTATAATACAACAATAAATTTTTTTATAATTTTACAATAGCGAATAATAAGCAGAAATATTTTTACAATTATTAATATTTAATAATTCAATTATAAGTACACAGAAAAATATATTTATTTATAATAAAAAAAGTTTTAGTTTAAAAAAGTTAAAAGTCATTAGTTTTTTTTTAATGTGAAATTTGAAATTGATTTTTTTGTGAAAGTAATGAATATTGATCAATAATATCTGGATCGATTGAAGTTGTGGAAATCCTTAAACAACTTTCAAGGTGCTTGTCTGATATAGTGGACCGATTCTTACTCTTTATGTTTTTCATTCTTGAAAACAATTGTTCGCAAATGTAAGTACTGTCGAAAAGCGAGAACATGAATAAGGCATGGTCATGAAGGACTGGATATGTTTCTTTGGGTAGATATAATTTATAAAAATCTAATAAAGATGATTGTTTGAATTTTTCTTTGAGTTGAATATCAGATGATTGCAACTCAATGCATTCCACTTGAAATTTAGTTTCCACAGCAGTAATATCAACCGAAAATGGTGTTGCAAAAATAGCTAAGAGTTGACTATTCTTACGAAAATCTTGAAAACGGGTTTCAAATTAATTAATTAAAACTAAAATCAAAGAAGCATAGGTATTCCTCGTTATTCTTGGGATTGTATTCGGCCAACACAGGGAAATACATAAAATTATTCACCTTAACTTGACTTTGCCATAATTTAAGTTTCAGTTCAAAGGCAGTTATTATTTGAAACATATTACTAATGAGTTGATTTTTACCTTGAAGACGTACGTTTAACTCATTTAAATGAGTAGTTATGTCAACTAAAAAAGCTAAATCCATAAGCGTTATTTGATGGTTGGTTTATATTTTTAAAATAAATTTGTTCTCTTAATATTAATATATTATGTATAATTAATTCATTGTTTTAAAATTGAAGTGAGGGCCGCATCAAAATCTATTGCGGGCCGCATGTGGCCCGCGGGCCGTGGGTTGGACACCCCTGGCTTACTGCATTATTTAATTGAGTAATCAGATATAAAATGTTGAAGTGATCCATGGTTAATATTTAATATTTATTATCAAAATTACAATATATCAGTAACAATTGTTGGAAATAATTATAATAATTAAAATATAATATAATATTTTTCACTGTTGTGGTTGTTTGTTTGTGGGTGCAAAAAGATACTTTTGTCCCCCAGGAAAATTGTGGTGGGTGCAACTTTGGGTCTAACCTAACCAAATCCAACCAACCTATAACCTCTAGTCATCTCTCACCTCTTATTGTTTTTCGTTTTCCGTTAGGTGCTTGTTTATTTAATAAACTATTACGTTTTAAATTTTAATATTGAATATCTGACAAATCATTTAAAGAAGGGATTATTTTCTACGTCCTATAGTCGTTTTCGGTTGTTATATTGTCAAAGATTTGTCTGTTATATGAGTATCCATTATACACGGTTGCCCATGGTGTTTGGACTGCAGACCCACACGACACTTATAATGTACCTACAGCAGAAGAGCAGTACACACTTGCCAGCCTGTTTTTCCTTCAATTTTTTCACGCATCACAATTTAACAATATTAAGCCTATAAGTATATATATTTACATATTAAATTATATATTATATTTTTAATGGAAAAACGGAAAACGATAAATAGATAGATTAATTTCAACCCACCGTAGTCGGATATTACAGCTAGTTAGTAGTTAAAACTAACTATAGACACCTACGTTATAAAGATCGTTTCCACATTTTGAATATTATCCACCATTGTAGCCAATTGGCAATTTGTAGGTATAGATAATAGATTATAGCCTATAGGTATGTATATTTATGCAGTGATATGCACTTACAAACTGAACATTAAAAACATGTGTATTATTTATAAGTTATTATAAAATATACTCTATATTATGAAATGTTTGTGGACATATAACACAATTCACACATATTATATTAGGTAGGTAGGTAAATAATATAATAATATACAAAAGCATTTTTATCAAAATGTTTACTTAATTTTCAACATAAATATCACAACAATGGTACCTAACAGTACTATTTACAAATAAATTAAAATGATTTCAAATTAATAAATAATAGTATCACTCTAAAAATAAAAATTTAAAAATAAAAAAATTGTATACACAATTATTTAGGACCCTGAAACGTGTTTAAACCTAATTAAAAAATAAAATAATAATAATTATAAAAGACGAAATAGAATTTTACAAGAAGAAGTACTTTTTGTAACAATATGCATTACAAATATTGTACTTGATAGAAAAGTTACAATTGCAATTCGTCGCAAATAAATAAAAAAATAAATAAATATCATATCTGAAACTGTACCAAGTTGCAGCTGAGGACGCATTACTGGAAGTGTCAGTTTATTGGTTTAAGCGTATACCTAAATGGTCTCACAGCAGGCCTATTTTGTGTTTGTTGTTTCCGCTGACCTAGCATATCAATCATGGAAGGCATAGGTTTGGATCGCATGGCAATGAATTCTTCTGCGTCTTCGTCTTTAGGCAGAGGCCTCTGAGAGTCACCGGGTACTGGCCGACCATCAGGCATTACTCTCACGACCATTGGCCCGATGATATAACCACCTGGCGGAGTAGCTATTTCTTCGACGTTATTCGACGCAGAACCCAAATCGTTTCCACCACTTGTTTCTATACAAAGGTGACAAACAAATATGTTAGATTTTATACAGGTAAATACATAGCATGTATGCTTAGATCATACAAGTCTAAGTGTATCTATTATGATATTTACCTAATGGGTCATTGAGCTCTTGTTCCGATTTGTTGGTTGTTTGGGAAGTATAGAAACCTCCTTTCATCATAGATTCCCATACTAAAATAATAATGAGAATAAACAATAAAAATAACTTTCTATTTTAATGTGTTCATTTTATTTGACATTATTTACTTAATGTTACTTAAATAGTTAAATATAGGTACATACTCATTATTCTCGATCCTCTTTGATAAGGGTCCATTTTGTCTAAGCTATCATCTCCCATTTTCGCCAAGTTGGTTAAACCATAAACCAATAATACTTTATTACAGTCTAAAACAAAAAAAAACATAGTAAAAATATTAGTTATTTATACGAAATTACAACTAAACAATTTACAAATATATATGTAAACTTTGTAATCATTATTTATTTATGTTGTACCTTCCTACTTACAAGAAATTGAATTACAAATTATTATTAGAATTCATTTTATATAGATACACACAACACACTAATATGTGTAATGCACTAGGTAATGTTTTATAGTATTATTGTTATGAATAATGTATTTTACCTATTAAGTATATTAAAACCTAGGGTTTTGATTGAATATTTTACATGCACATGTATATGTATATACTATTATATAATGGTACCAATATATTTTATTGAAAATAAAGCTTATTAAAAAATAGTTACACCTAGGTTGGCATAATATATCTTTAATTTATTTACCTACATCTGGTTTCTAGTATATAATATTATATTTAATTAAGTAATGAACTTATGGGGGTAGCTTGATCAGTAATATAATAAATATTGATTATTTATGGTCAAACCATATACGGTAAAACTTTGACGGGGTTTTCTTGTTTTCTATGTTGTATATTTTGTAGTTTATACAGATAGGTATAAAGCACTATAGAGTTATTGACTATTGCACGCTATGGTCAGGTTGTTGCAGCGGATATTATGTATAAATGTATAATGTATTTTACTATATTTATTTTATGTAAAAATTCAATGAGAGTCAATTTAGGTACATATGTTCTGGTCATATCTATTATTCTAATTCTTTACTGCGTCTCTGCCAGTTTGTCTATATACGACTTCCGAACGTTGTAGTAAGGTACCTATAGGTACCACACTGGGGTAGGTAACTAAGATTACATAGGTATCTACATAAAAAAACATGGTGAAAAAACAACATATCAATATAATAATAAGCTATGATATAATACTGTTATAGTGTTATAGGTATGTATGGAAAGACAAACGGTTAATATAATATACGACAATTCGATTTATTAATATTGAGTATATTATATGTCGGTATGCAAAGTTGGTTGGCTATTGTAAATAGCCTAGGTATTGATTGATTTCTAATGGCATATTGTATATTTACAACAAAATACAAATAATGAATATGAATAAACCTAATCCCGCGTGACACTAAACATTTAATGAATCAATCGTGAACTATAACGGTCCGCATGATTCAGTGATCCAAGAATCTTGGACCAAGATCGGTTCATTAAATTCATCAATTTTTGATGTAACCCTACACTATTAACCTATACTATTATATTTATTTCATGGAAGCTGTAGTATAATTATTTTATACATTTACATTATTGTTGTTATAACATATTATGATGGATTGACATATTATTAAGCTTTTATTTTACATGATGAACAGGAAATGTAAAAAATATTAATAAAACTACAAATCAATTAGAATGATGATTGGAAAAATTTCACTTAAATACTATGTACTGGATGAGTGTATATAAAAGGAATTAAATTTTTCTATATTTATGTGCGGTAGCCATGACCTGCAAGAGCCAATAACCTTCATAGTGACATGCAAATTAATTTGACGACGATGAACCCAGGAGACTTTAACGAACGATCGCAGAAAAATAAACGATTTATAAATTATAAGTCACGATATTTATTTATATAATATTTCGTAAGAATACTGTACCAGGAATTACCTTGAAAACCAATATATTTATAACCATGTTGGTACATATTATATAGACCAAATGTTGTCTTTAAAAAAAAAATGCAAGTTATCTTACATTCTTACCTATATAGTAAAGATAAAAGATATATATGATATATAATATATACATATAGATCATAAAACATATTTATTTATTTTTATCATTTGACATTTGTGTATTCATACCTAACATACAAACAGTCTTTAAATTGTTACTTTGAAGTTTATTAATTAGACATTAGGTATACGATATATATTATAACTTTATTTTATATTGGTACAAAATACTAAAACCATAAATAAAATATAATATAAGTATATGTATAAATGGTAAAAACACAAATTATTCGACAACAGTCGGAAAGACTTGAAAACAATGTATAAATAGAATACAGGTAGATAAATTATAATTTAAAATTATTATGCATTTATGCAGACCAAAACCAAAGAATAAAACAAATGGTTTTATAGGTATCCGGTAAAGTGGTACCTATTATAATTCCACTCTCTCAGCAATATTAAGCAACCGCAAAGACCTATCAAGATTCATGATTCATAAGACAATATAAAAGTAGAAGGTACTACTTAGTAGGTTATTTGTTTGCAAACGTAACATTTAGCTATATATAATATAGATGAGGTCCCCTATAACTGTATAAGAATACTGAATAACAAATACACGAGAAAAAAGTTACCTGGCATCGAAGATGAGTCACAGAAGTCGGCTACTTGTTTCACGAACATGTTGAATAAGTGGCTCATCTGAAAAATAAAAAGAAGAACAAAATGATTAACATAATATACATATTATATATATATATATATATATATATATGAAAGCTTCTTGGAAAATGTTTACATAGACATATATTTTTACACTTAATAGTTTTTATGTTGTGTAAGTGTACATCAATTATGAATTAAAAAATAAACTCTAATAATTTGATTTTAGTCAGGAGTTATACAAATTATCCGAAAATAAATCTATAGTAATAACTACAAAATAAATTATAAATTATATTTTTGAAAATCATGAAAACTGGTACCAATGATTTTTTATGTAAGCTCATCATTCAGTAGTCAAGTACCTACGTCGTGTTATTTAATGCATATGCGAGCCGGGAACGGAACTATGGCCAGGTATATCCTTCATGTCTCCGTAATTTAATATTTTTGTAAATTATATACTCTCAATTAAAAATGAAATTACACTGCCAATTATTTGGTGTATCATAGTAATTTGATACTTATTATATATATTTTAGATGTTTCAATAATGTTTGCTTTATAAGATTTACACGAAACGTAACAAAATACTACTTTACGGAAGTCTCAAGTCGTAAAGGCGTAAACAGTAAAATATAGGTACAAATCTTCCAACATTATAATTGTTACGAGTATGATAATTTTAACACATCTTCGAATAAAAATATTCAACCTTCACTGACATAATAATACATTGTAATTTGTAAGAAAATTATGTAGAATTATTCATTTTGTATGCGATTTTACAACATGCAGGTATTATTCAAATTTATTAAATAAATAAATATCTACAGCTATATATTATAATGTTATTATTATTATAATATATATTATATCGGATATACCCCCATGTTTTTCTTTAATAAAGAATTTATACGAACTTTGATTCTAGCATTTTTAAGTATGAACCATTTTTCAAATACTTAAAATTTGTATAACATCCTGTGGTGAGAATATGATCCTTATTCATACGACAAAAATCAGAATTCGAATAAATTATTACTGAAGTTAAAATGGGGGTGAGCATGCATGTAAATCAACCTGTTTAACAATATACCGCAAAGATCAAAACATATACATCAAACAATAATCAAGAACAGCACAAATAATTACGATATGCACGAGTACATGACAATTGTAATTCATTTGAAAATATCTTAAATGGCTTTTTACATGAAGACATATTCTATTCAAAATTATAAGTAAGGCAGGTACACTTGCAGTTTTACGTCACGTTTCTTGGACTTTGGAGGAACCTAGGTACCTATCTATTTATAAATTCGTGTCTTATGGATTTTAAAATAACGGGTTCGTGTATGCTACACTTTACGAAATGCACAGCACTATTGTACAATGGACATAGTAAATACTAAATGTATAGTACATTAGTACCTACCTATATGTATTATAGGTACTATACAATTACTCTCAAATTTTTAATGACTATAATTCATAAAAAAAAATTAAGAATAAGAATCACATTAGGGAAAGTCTCCTTGAACGTCAATAATAAATTATGGGGTAATTTAATAACTATATAGTTACCTATGTTGTCGTTTTTTTTTTAATAATATTATTACTTATTAAAACTATATATAACTAGTTAAGCGTATTTTACTTTATAATTTATATTTATATATATTGAATGACATACTAGGTACTTATGTTTAATTAGAGATGAATACGAAACTCACATTTTTTAGCAATGTAGGCTTAATATTTAACTTTCCTTTTAGTTTACCTATGTATTATAGAAATTATGATGGTGAATTAAATATCTAAAAAGTAAAAGATAATGAATAACTTTAAGTAGGAAATAGTTAATTACTGTTTAACGTAGATGTTATTTTAGAATTTAAATTTCTTACGGTTTGTTAGCCAACTAAGCTAACCCCTAGAAGACTGAAATATTGATTAAGTTTTTTTTAAACTGAAATAGTTACTTACTTAGCGTATAAATATACTGCAGGTTACTGTATATTATATTATAAATTATAATATAATATAATATATAATATGTTATACTATAATCGTTGTATAAAAGTTGGCAGATAAATATCTATAGGTGTTTGGTATAAATGAAGATTTCTTAACTACCTATATAAGTAATTATTTTTTTGGAATTATTGCTATGAAGCCGCCTTATTATAGACCTATTAACAATAATTATTTTTCGTAAACCGATAGGTAGCTAATTAAAAACTATTACTTATAAATTATTACTATATTCTAGAAATCTCATATAATAACAAGAAGTACAGTTTAACAACTCAACATTTTTATTTTACTATTGAATGTATCTAAATATATTATATAGTACTGTAATAAATATTAAAATTATTAATTAAAATGAGAAATAAGGGAGAAGTTTTTTAGAGAGGGGTAAAATGATAGTACTCTAAGTACTTGCCAGTAGCCATTTGGTGCTTATAAATTATGTAGGTGACGTTCAGATATCGTATAAGAAGTAAATAGTAAATACAAAAAACAACTTCAAGAATATGAAACTCGAGTGACCGTTGAAAACGTAAACAAAAACAAAATATAACATAATAATATATTATACGATGCACATACTGTATAGTAGATGTCCGTTGTTGTCTGGAAGTGGTTATGTTATTTGTTTATATTATAATTTTTTATACCATAAAGTGCGTCACACGCTTAACTGGATTTTTTTTTAAATAATAAATATATATACCATAATATAATAATATCATAGTAGGCGTTATAGGACGTGTTTACGTGAATTAAATTCAATGATTATACGATGAACAAATAACTATAATATTATAGAAAATCAGCTATCGAAAAAATCATCCATGAAAAATATTATAGAAAATCAGCTATGGAAAAAATCATCCATGAAAAAAAATATAATATTATAACACTATATTATACAGTGTAAATTAATTAAATAATTTGGTTAAGTGGTTGGTGCTGATGACACTATTCACAATACCTATAATATATTATCTAGGATTTGGTCATATCCAATACCTTTAACGTACATTTTTAATATAAACAATTTTATCCATTGTTCGAACAATCATTGTTCCCACAAATAACACTATCCTAAACTCTAAAGTAATATGGAACGGAAATCGTGTAACGACGCGATATATTTTCATTTAATATGCCCGTAGATCCGGGTATATTGTCAACCAGCTCATTTTTTATCGGTCTTGAGAATTTTAAATGTACAGGCACATGATCACATCGCTGGTTCTCCACAAACCAATAACCATTATAATGAATATATAAATATATATAGAATATTCAACAAAATGCGACTTAACGAGTGATATATGAAATTCTTAGAGGATAATGATCTTGAGTTCCTATCTAGGGTGCACAGAGAAAGTTAATACCTATGTTTCAGTATTCTAATATTTTGTGATAGGTACCACTATACCAGTATTACCACTTACGCCTTTTATAATGTCAACAACACATGCAGTTGGTATATCTTGTTTTTACTATTCTTAATCTCAAAATCCCTAAAACTTAAAGTGTTAAGCTCAATATTTTAATTAAATTTCATACTTTGTTTAACACAATTAAAATACAACAATAAACGCATTTAAAAAATAAAATATTAATTTTTTTACTGCCTTTTTAGTTTTTAAATTACTTTAATATGTATTTCTAAGAACTCTTTTACTCATAACTAAAGTGAGTTTAGCTAGTTTTGTAAAAAAACAAGTAGGTAATCCATTTTTAGTTTATATTTTCTTAGTTGATATAAATAAAAAACTTAAAATAGATTTTTGTAGTTATACCTGATACATATAACTTATAAATAACACAATGCTTGGACAATGAACATTACTGTGATTTCAAATCGTATTATTATTTATATACCTAATGAATAGGTAGTTATTAATATTTAATGACGTAAATAGATCAATAAAATGTAGTTTGCACGTTGTACTTTGTGTATAGTAAGATAACTAAAATATTATTATAACAGTACCTATGGATTATACAAGTTGAATAACACCTACATTTTTTTTTTTTTTATAAGTAGAATAATTGTAAAATATATTTTTAAAACTTCTCATAACTACTAATTTTGGGGTATCACCAATGGGTGACTTCCCCCCTCCCGTAAATCATCCTCATAAAATTTACTCATTGTAATATAATATATTATTATGTATAAAATGTTGCTCAAAAAAAAAAACTACTAATTTATGAATATTTCACGTTTTTGACAGTTTAGTTATAAGAAGAATCTACTATAGGTAGGTACCTATTGAGTTTGGATCAACTATACAACTATACATAAACAATATCAGTAAGCTCGCTTTGATTTAAACCGACAATACTTAAACACTATTACCATACGTCCATCCTCATTAGTCATACTGTCATATACAACATACAATATTAATACAGACTACAACACTATAGGTACTACAGAAGTGAGTAAAATAAGTTTTTAATTCATGATGATAATTCATAAGCCATACGTGGCATAAAAAATTAAAAAATGTATTATATTAGGAATATAATATTTTTATATATTCAAAGGATCAAAGGATAAAATGGGGCAAGAATGCTTATAAATACTTATATTCAAAATAATAAAAAATTTTGTACTTTTTTGTAGCCAGTAGGTAGGAATATAAAAATGATAAATTAAAAAATTCAAGAAATTCAATGAGTTAATATATTGGCATTTGGCATATTGTTTCTAATAAAAATTAAAAGAATAATATTCACATTTAATTTAACTTAAATAGCTACATTATTCAATTTAATAAAAATTATATTTTTTTATCTATAATAAATAAATTATTCAAATAAAAACAATTTTATTTTTTTTAAATTTAAAATTTAAAATTCAATTTATACGTAACAGATGGAATCGCTTCACAAATTACATAGGTAGTTTTATATTTAAATTTCCTTTGAGTAAAAAGTAAAAATAATTTAACTGAAAATTAAACATAGGTACACCCTAATAATCGGTACAGAATATCTTATAAACACATATTTATATTATAAAAATTATATTTCAATTGAAAATAATAACTACTAAACTACCTATAAAAAATATTTTACATAAAGATTTTGAGAGAAAAATTCATAATCAAGATTAAAGAGACGGGATTATCAAAATATTATATTATATATTATATTAATATATTTTGCATGTGCCAAGAAGTATAATTTAAAATACGATGAGTTTTTATTGCACCTACATGCTACACTAACATTTTATTATTCCTTATAACACAATAACTTAATATGTCTTATTTTATATTTGTAATAAAATAAAATATATTTCCTGTTGACCATGATTTCCAGTACCCCCATAATGTATTAAGCTAGGTACATGTATATAGAGTTGCCCTTCCGGCAAATCGTAATTTTTACTGATGGTTTACTTTATGTTATTAATCACTAGTGGCAGATAGGTACCTACCTGTATCATCACTCATCAATCATCAACAGCAAAATAATTAATAATACAAATTACAATAAATTATGATTTATGAATTTAATAGGTACATTTTTAAAGAAAACGAACGTTAACCAACGTTTTTTTTTTTTTGATTTAATGGGCTGCTTAAGTATAAGTAATAAGTAATAACTAATAATTAATAAACAATGAGTATAGTTAACTAATAAGTAATACCTAAACCATGATAATTTTATATACGAACATTGTTAAAAATGAGGACGGATGCATTGTGCCCATGTAGCCTATTTAGCCTATATGGTTATATGGAAGCAACAGTTATCATGTGAAAACGACTTTGAAATATTTTATTTAGGTCTCTTCGTTTCTCATTAGGTTCGAACAAAACTATAGGTAGGAAATAAAACTTATTTAAAAATATTTCAACATTATATGGATTATGGATGCCATCGTTTAAATTTAGGTTGTGTAAAAATGTTAATTGAACATTTTAGATTTATTATATTTATTTTTAAATCTAGATCTAATGTTTCATAGAAACTCTCACTTTAATAGTGTGGAGTAAGACGTATATTTTAGTTGATATGTAGGCAAGCCCAAACAAGCATATACAGTATATACTAGGTACATAAAACTGCAGAAAATCGCTTTTTTATGCCTAAAATTAAAATAATTCAAGAACACTTTAATATACATTTATAATATAACATTTTCTTCAATACCTACCTATATATTATGTTTTTAGTCTTTATATGGAAATATGGAATTCTATTGTATATATTAATTACGATGTTGATAAAATATTTAAGCGGACTAGCGGAGCGACAAAAAAGAGTTGGTTGGGTCATTGAACCAATTATAGACAAAATTTAGGTAAGTAAACCATAATTCATTAGAGTTTCTACAAATGTTTATAATATACATTATACAATTTTGAAACATTTTAAGTACCTACCTACCATAATGACATAACAATATATGAAATACTTTGTGTGTATTTCAGTTATGAGCAAAATGCAATAATATCACGGTTATCCGTGTTAACCTATACCTAGTAGATACCCGTAGTAACTACAACCTATAGTGTGATTTTTACATTTTATTTCATTATTATTGTTGTTAACATTTTGACAATAGTGACTATAGTGTTACCTATATTACAATTTATTTTAGTAGAATATATTAATATATTTGTACGAAAATATTTTTTTATATAAATATTATTCAATGGTAAAGCAGGTAAAGGATAAAATAATCTTTAAATTATAAAAATGAGTCATAAAAAATGATCCAATATTAGGTATATTATAATTTAATGTATTGCTGAACCAATTTTTTTTTTTAAAGTAATGATGAGTATTATTTTATGAGAAGAATGGCGAGGTTTTTAGAGAGTAAACCAAAATTAAGTAGGTTTATGGACTATATGCTAAGGCTCCGAATCGGATCGTATACTTAGCCCAATCACTTCAATTTGAATTAATCAGGTCCTGGTAAGTAGGTACAAGTGTCTGCAGTAGTGTATTTATGATTTTTAAATTTAATGAGGACTGGATGTTATTAACAGTAGTACCAATTTACAATTTGATCTAATAATATACGCTAACTCGATTAAATGGTGGTAGGGGAAAAATTCATATAATGCAACTACTTACTTTATTTACACCTCATTGGGTTTGTGCACTTGCATAAAATATAAATAGATGCTAAGTTGAATAATTTATAAACATTAAACATTACACTTTTATCCGAATAGTCAGTTCAATTGTATATGACCATCGTACAATTTTGCATTTCAATAACGATTTATTATACCTATATATTCGATTATTTAATAACTGTTTAATGAACAAATTGGCACAATGATCGATCGATACCGCGAATAATCTGAATGTACAGTTAACAGAATAATGATGCCAAATGTGCGAGTCGGCGGACACGGTGTTTTTCATTCTTTAAAGTTTTTTTTATTTAATCTTGAAGGTACTAATTGCTATTAATTGTATAGTTATTAGAAATAATAAAAAAAACATGTTTATTTAAACACATAAATATTTTTCCATGATCTATAATGTACGTTCTACATATTTTATTTCTAATTTAATTAAATTGAACAATAATATATTATTTATTGAATGCTGGCATGTTAAAAATATATACAGAGTACTTACAGATACTTAAACCAATAAAATAAAATTTATAGACAGCTGATTTATTATATATTTATAAGACATTTTAGACACAGGTACATATTTTCGATTAATATAAATTGGTTGGCGGCTCAGAAATTGACGAGTTTATAATTTTTAAATCCTATAAATCGTTTCTACTATAATATAATAATATGTAAATTATATTTAACTGTATATATTAAACTCAAACACGTAACGTAAGTGTAATATATTATCGTGAATAAACGTATAATATTGTATATATAAATACATTATAATAAAATACAAACGTCTGTTTCACGAACGAATGTCTAAAAAACGATTTAATTTCCAAAAGTTACCTTTTCTCCTCGACTGAGGAATTCCCACATCGGAATGGCCGACCCGGAGGTCCGGGTCACTAGGAATGCGGCCAAGGGCCATAGGAGAGCGTACGTTCTCATCGTGTTCACTGTTCAGATTAATATATTGTATATGCTGCTGCAGCAGACAGACGGTCGTGGCAATTCGTCGTTGTGCGCGTCTTGAAACACACTGATCGTGATTATACGCAACGGAACCGCTGCTGGGGCCGGCTCGCCAAGCCGTCGCGCGCCGAAACGGTTGCGCATGCGCGTTTGTCGACGGCGCCTGCAATAAGCGCGCCAAGTTCCGGAAAAATCAGAACGGTTTTTCACACACGCACGCGCCTGTAAACTATACAGGTATATACACAAACACCGCTCCGCACGCTGCACTGAAGTCCTTGACATTTACCACGATCCGCGGTATACCTACATACCATACATTAGATACCTATTATACTATATATAAACATACCTAATAGCGCATGCAGAATGCGTAGGTATTTAAAATATTGTAAGTATATACGAATACCTTAGCTATAAATATATTATATAAATTATATTTACATATGCTTAACAATAAGTAGGTACCTTATAAATGGTTATAATACAATAATAATAATTATAATAATAATAAAAACAATAACAATATTATAGTGACATTAGTGACAAGGAATTCAAAATAATATAGACAATATATTATATATATTATATATATATGTACTCGTGGATACAGATGAACTGGTTCACTGCAATTTACATACAATAATATGCAGTATTATGTTTAAGTTATATTATGTCGTACACGGTACACACAATATTATTGAGTTCAACATTCTACCAAATAAAAAATACATATAGATAAATATGCATTTTTTTCCTTACCTATATTATAATATAGTTTATTATGTTTATATGTCTTCATAAGGACCATATTTTATAAGTAGATAATCATAGAATAGAATTTGTATGTATTATATAATATATTATCAAGTCTAAGGATAACATCATTAAATATTTGAATATATTTATATATGAATATTTGCAATGATAAATAATGATTTATAATATACATAGTATCTAGGCAATACATTAAATATGAAATTATAATAGTAGGTAAGTACAGTGAAATATTATAAACGATTTATTTTATCAACAATGTTTTTTATATGACCCCGACTCTCTCAGGTGTATACTATTTTTTACCTTAGTGGCTTAGTGTACGGAAAGTGAAAATACATTTAACATTTTTAAATAAATAACGTGAAAAATAAATTTCGATACCTATAAACCATAATTTAATTATTTAAATATACAATTAATTATAGGTACTTTGGTAGGTACTTATTATTTTGAATACGATATAATGGTTACCATACTATGTAGACTGAAAATCAACAACTATACATTCAAATGTCAATAAAACATACCTACTAAATGTTATGTTAAAAAGGTGGGTAAGTGTATGTTGCTCTGCTGTACAGTAGGTTACAAGTAGGTCACTGTATAAAGGATGCTAATAACTTTGAATTCAATGATATAATTTTCATTGTATACGAAAAACGATTCTGAGAGATGACGGTTTGTCAGTGTGGATATTTTATATTATATTTACCTATATTGTTATTACTTATTATTAATACGGTAGCTGGTAAGTTGAATTAATATTATAAAATTACAAAAAAATAACTAAAATGTTTGTTCTTGGTTATTTATTATGTAATTTGAAATTTTCTTCAAATTTGAACATAAAATAAATATAAAAATATTTTTGAGATTTTTTGGTTACAGATTAACCTACTTACGTGGAACCATGTTGTAAGTTTTCAAGTTGTACATAGTTGAACATTTTATAAATTTTTAAATACAAAATTATTTTAGATTCTGAGTGGAACGATGAATGTATTGATTTTACAATGATGTGTGTTTGTTTTATTTTTTTTAATGAGGTGGCCAAGGGGTTGCCCAGGCTCCTCCCTGGCGCCGGCTCTGATTATCGTCATAATCTTCATCATCGACACAAATACACAATATTGACAGCGTATATGTACGGATTCGACAGTCAGTCGTCAGACTATTGTAGATCGATGAGCAGGTAGGCGCAGTACCTTCTTACTTTTACATAAACACAATGCGGAGTTCATAGAACAGTAGATATAATTATTATTTTAGATTCAGAGCCGAGCGATGACTGTATTGATTTTAAAATGACTTGGGAGTGTTTTTTAATTCCGTTTTCTGTCTGTTCTCACATTTTGGGGCAGAAAAAATGTCACCACACCTCCACACCAGTAAACATAATGATATACATCCACTTGGCCAAAACCTTTAGGCATAAATATACTATTTTATTGAGATTTTGTAAGTAGCAAAAAAGTTGTTTGTTAATGTTCTTTATGGGTCCAGTGAGTTCCATATTCCCTGCACGTGAACATAATCATGTTCAGTGGGGCCATTATTATGTTTAAATAAATAAAATCTTACTCTTATTAATGCTAAAAACAAGAAACAACATATTATTACTGTGTAAACAGAATAATTTTATTATATCATAATTTGATGAAATTTTTTAAACAATTTTGATGATAATTTATGCCGAAAAAATGAGATAGAATACAACTTAAGTTATAAAATACAATAAATATAGGTAATTATTTTAAAGAAAAAAAAAGGCATCGGACAATACGAAGCGATGTGGGGGTACTTGATGGCGAGTGGGTGGTGATGCAGATAATGATGGCCACTGGTCACCACTACACAGTTCTCGCGGCCGGTCCTGAGGGGAGGACGAGAGTCACGGGCGCGTTTGTTCTGGACGCGAAGACGACCATGGCAGCGGGCCAAGCCCGGCCACGACGGCTGTGAGATCGATGACGACAGTTGGTGCGAAGAGCAGCTAGTTCTCGATGTACTGCAGGCGTTGAAGACGACTGTTGTGCCGGCGACGACGGTGACCAAAGCTCGGAGCGAGCGACGAAGACTATAATATCGGCTGACAGGATCAGATCACTGGGCGAAAAAGGGAGACATCGGAGCAACGCGCCGCTGTCCTGATACTCTTCATGGTTTTCGCCCAGGTGTCAGTGGAGTCGCGCACCGCTGAACTCTGAACGTTTCGTTTTCTCGAGCCCGGCGGCGCTGACGTCCATGTTCCTGGCCACCCTGTAAATTATAGTCATCCGTTACTCACCAGTCACCCGCCGTGAGCTCTGCGGTCTCCGTCGCCGCCGCCACGAGTCGTCTTCGTGCAGCACTGCAGCAGTCGTCACAGTGTGCACAAAAATTTACTACCTAGTACCTACCGTAAAAATTCTTGGTTTTCCTTAATTTTTTTTCGTTTTTCTCGGACACTATTGGAAATATGCGATTTTTACCTCCCAATGACCAACTAGATTCACTATCCCATTGAACAAGATACACTGAAGTAATCGATTCATTATTTTACACAGATAAAAAATTTTTTAAAAAAAAACACTCATCATTTTAAAATCAATTTATTCATCGTTCCGCTCAGAATCTAAAATGTTAAAATGTTGAGTGTTATGCCTACGCATTCTTTATTAGCCAATATTATAATAGTATAAGAATTATAATTGAATATTTGAATATAGAAATAGCCAGTATAGGCTCGGCTAACCTAACCTAACCTCGGCGACAGGACTATCTGTCCATGTACATATTATTATTTAAATATTTTATGTATCTATATTGATTTACTCATTAAATTCAAGTAAAGAATACATTGAAATTAAATGTTTATAAATATTTTAATACAGACGATTAATAATCATTTGTAAACACGACGTCTCACACCTGCTTAGACTCGACAACTTTACATAATCATATTATAAAGGTGTCGTGTTTGGAAGGTATTAAACATGGTAAACGTAAATCCTGCTGCAGCACGTCTCACTTGTATTAAATAGACTGTTTTTCCCGATCCCATATTCAGTACAGTAAAAATAGTGATAGGTGAGGTGAGGCGAGACATCGCAACCATTACGTTTTGATGGATTTAAGAATATTGTTTCTCAACAAATATCTAAAATAATCTATTTATTTATTTATATTGTCGGAAAACGGAAATCCCCTTAAAGATCCGTTTGAAGTTTTGGTCCATGCGTTTTACGATCATTACCTACGCGGTATAATGGGCTACACGTTAACACTATACCTATTATATATAGTTTCATTAAATTTATAAAGATATAAATCCAAGATTCTTTTAAGATTTAAAAATAAATATAAAAATGCAAAAGCAAAATTATTTGTGTTTTTATTTTATGGGTAGGTACCTACTTCTAAAATAATACTGTTAATACAATTAAAATGTTTGTATTATATTTTATAATTTTCCTATAGATAACGTATATATATACATATAATATACATTATTTTAAATTTTGGTTTTTACTATAGGTTCTATAGGTTGTATTTACAGTTGTCCACTGCAGGATTCAGTACTCTGTACACGTATGTAAGGTGTAGTAGTAGTACATTCATGTATTATATTAATTATTGGTTGCTGATTCGTTACATATTAAGTAATTAATAAAAATCTATATTATATGTGCTGTACTGCTGTAATAAAGTATTTTATTAGTAGATAATTTAATACTTCGAAGTGTTATTCGAATAACACAAAGTGATTTTTGCTTATATCAAAGTTTACGCAGCCCACAGTCATCTGTACAATATGATTAAAAAGTAAATGTGGAAACCGGAAGTTTATGGTATGGCGTGATTCATCGACAAGTCATAACGTAACTCATGTAGGTATCATGTAGGTATATCCAATTCATATACAAAATATTTATATATATTTTCTAATTTCACCAAAACACAACTATTTATAATGCCAGTAAATGAATAACTAGGACTTGGATTTTGATAATGTAATTTTTCTGGAACTTTACAACATGTGGAAGATATGTTAGTGATTAGATTATTTTAATGAAATTTATTGAAAAAATAAATTTGTTGGCGTTTTTGACGCATTTTTTAAGTCACCTTCTACATAAATTAAACAATTTTATTATTATTTTATTAAAAGTACCATATCGGTTATCGTTAGAACTCGAATTTTGAGGCAAAGTCTT